TTCTATTCTCGTTTTAAGTAACTAGCACGCACTATTAAACAACTCGCAATAGTTAAAGATTCTAACAATTAAAATAGCTGTATAGTTGGGGGTGCCAGTTTAAGAATGAATTCATCGAAAAAGGACAGCATATAGTTCTCATTTACTCTAGTCGACTCGCAAGCTAATTCAGAGATTCTATTTGACACTAGGCTGAGTTTCTAAGCATTTGCATCAACTAATGCTTTGGAGCATGAAAACAGATACTTCCATATTTGGCAAGGGTGTTCCATATAACTGCGGGCTTATCGAGAAAATATAACCATTGCTTGGTCGAGCTCATACAGTTTGTGTCTAAGCCTTTTCAAAGGTGAGTTTCTATAAATTTCTAGGTGTTTGGTTAGTCGAGTTTGTTAGTTTTATGATCTTAGATCTGGAGTATCGTCACCATTTTGGCATGATTCCCATTTAGCGGGATGGGCAGTAGTAAAAACTTTTATTAAAAGTGTCAAGAGCCGTCTAGCTAGAGAAAAATCCCTGACAGCGCTCTGGATCTTCGGGCTTTAAAAACTCTACTCTTCGCTAAACGCGCTGCGTTGCCAACCTCTTTTCCTATTAAAGTCTGTTACCGACCCAAACGCACGGCTGGTTTTTGAAACACATTTTCAGGCGTCTCGGATGCATGAGTTCCATATAATTGTGATCGCTGAGAATTCATCTTCAAATGGCTGCCCTATTCTTGGCCAAACCATTCATGTAAGAGCAAACGTTTTGGAAACCGTAAAATTCAAATCAAGGCATAACTTCTTTTAGTTTAAATATGGGAGTATCCTTTGGCTCTTCGTAGGTCCTCTGTGCGAAGAACATTCCTCCCATACATATGCAAAATACTATTCCGGTAGATACAGTCGGTCAGTTAAAGCCACTCATTAAATAGATGTGGAGTTAATAGGGAGCAATATGGCAATTCTTGGGCGATCATTAGGAAAATAGATCTTGTTAAAACAGATGCAAACCAGTTAGCCGAGTTATGTCAGTTTGTGGCGAAGTGTTTCGGCATTTATTGACGATTTTGTTTTTGTGTAAAAATCCTTCTAACGATCACAATTCCTCCTTCAGTATCACTCAGATATTTCCAACATCATGGCTTTCCTTGAA